TTATTATTATTATTATTATTATTATTATTATTATTATTATTATTATTATATTTTAACAACTTTACAAGTTACCCAGACTACCCTCTCTGTTTGGTAGGGTAACCCTTCTGCCTGCATCAAGTTTTCCCTTGTAAAGTGATGGCTAGGGATAACCTGCTCTCCCAGGCTGCAACTTTTTTATCCATTGTCAAACCTCTTGCATCTTAAATAACTTAGCAATTATCATAACCAAATGACTTAATTTCTGCTGAATCAAAATATTATCAGGTAAAATAGATTTTACTGCCAAATGAATGAGATTAACCATTTTCATTGTTGATTTTGCTAACCAGACCTGTACATCTTCTCAGGCACTAGGGTTTATACCCTACCTATATTTTTTCCTTGTACTGTAAAGCCAAGTTATCTATTGCCCCTGCTTGGCAGGTAACCTTAATACTATGCTTTCCTATTTTGACAACAAAAGGCACCAATAGGAAGGAACATAAGAAAAATGTACAGCTAAGAATGACTTTACTTTTACATCAAAAGTTTAATAACAAATAGCAAATGATCAACTACAGGAAGGGTATCTGATTGTTTTGCCTACGCATTGGTTCGCCTACTGAAGTTCTCCTACGTATAAGTTTTGCCTACTGGAGTTCGCCTACGTAATACACTGGAACCGATTCATGAGTAGAAGCATTAGATGAAAAAAAGAGGAAAACTTCAATGATCAAAAAGGCAGACACATCTTTATCTTCAAGAAAGTTTATGAAAATCTCAAGGCAAACTAATTAACAGAAAAATCGCAAGTAGTAATCAAGAATGCCAGAAAAGTGTTGAGTGACAACAAAAGTGTTACTAAGATTTCATCTGCTCTTCTTACCAAAATCTTCATTAAAGGAACACATCTTTTACCTCTAAGAAAGTTTATTTACAGTAAGTATGAAGACGATATAAGCGAGAGAAGCGTTAATACAAATGAGACAAGTACTTCAGAAGTGTGACAACAACAGCAAAATGGCAAACTATCAGATGCTATCTATCAAATTTATAAAAAAAATCTTGAAAAAAGTTCGCCTACTTATGAGAGTGTCAATGAGTGAACGAGTTGTTGTGACAACAAAAGCGTAACAACTTGTCAAGTGAAAGCGGTAAACTTTCAGATTTCATGAAAAAATCTTTGCTTACTTACCAAAATCTTTATTAAATACAAATATCTTTGAAAATGGTCATCAAATCAAAAAGATTTTTTCAGACAACATAGTTCAAAACTAAAGGGAAAGTTATTACTGTAGCAAAAAAAACTCATTCACATCTCAGAAGTTCTTGACTCATTCGTAACGTTTCTCTTACTTTACTCAACAGCAGTTGATTTGTTTTTTATATATTTACTGTGTCACACTTGTTTAGATAGGTTGCACGACTTTTCTTGGTTTACTATGTTGTCACACAACGCTTACCAGTTACTCGTTAGCGTCTAAAGTTTTCAGTGTTTCTCTTACTTTGTTTGCCTTGCTATTCATGTAAAAGTTTTATTCTTTACACGAGAAGTATTTCCTTTTTTACAGTATATCTATTGTCTCACCCTTCATAGATAGGTTTTACAACGCATTTGATATGTAGGCGAACTTACAGTAAGTAGGAAAACGTATGTGTAAGCGAACTTCAGTAGGCGAACCAATACGTAGGCAAAACAATCGTAAAGCACAGGAAGGTGTGTTTTTACTGTGGTTGGAGGGCTGGGGCTTCAGAGGGGAAGGTCACCGGTAAAATTTTGAACTTTTGTAGAGGGTCAAACCCTTTTTGTTTGGAAACAAAAACTGTCATGGATTTACAGTCAACGGTCATGAATTTCTTATTGAGTGAAATGGGGAGTGCTAACCTATTTTTCAAAAGTTAACTGTGAATTCCCCAGCCCTCCTCCCAATAAAAATTTACCTTCCCTAATTGTGACAAAAAATGTCTTACTTTTTGATTTTCTGTTTAGTAATAGCAGTTCTCCATACTCTGCCATCATCTGTTACAGCTGTGATACTCTGACCAAAAACTTCAAAGTAAATAACGTCTGAAGGGAACAAATAGGTGTTCTGTTGGGGGAAAATCCAATTCAAAATCATTTATTAAATGTCAATGCCAACACGCATTCAATACGTTCAATAATAGAGAGATTTAGCATTGAGCAAGCGTCAAAGACAACAGCACGAGCACATTTTTTTCCTGTGCATGCCACCCTAAATGTAGTGGACTTCTTTGACAGAAAGTAAAAATAGGGGTCTGCAAATGGCAACCTGCCGAGGATGTCAACCACGTCTTACCATCATCCTTGATGCTCACGTCTAATTGATGCTAAATCACTCTACTACGTATTAAACTGAGACCAGAATAAACCTGTGAAATAGATATTAGACTAATAATTATACAGCTTCTCATTAATCCCATATAGGTAACTGTCCAATTATTTTCTTAATTGGACAGGTCTTGTTGATATGTGATTAATTAGGCAGCTATATAATAATTAATAGGTAATGGGATTTCATGCTCCCCAATCAAGAAATAATTAGACTCGAAAAATTCCTCGGAATTTTCCTCGTCCAATTAAGGCATGGAGTCCTATTACATATACTTAGCAATTAGTCCTCTTGCCCAAATGGGCTGTGAGTCAATTAATAGCCCATGAGTCTAAAGGCTGAATGGACTATTGACTCACAGCCCATTAGGGCAAGAGGACTACTTGTTTTAGTCAAATCCAACTATAGTGTAGTTGGCCAAATATATCATCCAATCAAAATGCAGCATTGATGATACACCACTACTTGGATTTCACTAATACACATTAGCATAAACCTACTAATGGTCTATCCTGTGTTTTGATTGACTGAGCTACAGTGGTCTAGGCGTCTATAGACCCCTTGCATTTGACATCAAAGCAGCTCAATTTGGAGGACAAAACAAAAGAATTTCAGGCCCCGTCCACACTATGCCGAATAAATTTGAATCCAAATTTTTATTTATTCAGTTAGGCCTACCACCCACACTAGTCCAGGCGAATCTGGAACAATTCTTCACTGAAAACAAATTTTTTCGAATACGGTTTCCAAAGTGGAACAATTTGAAAACGCCGGTTAGCTGTATTAGTGTGGACGGAGAACATTTTGTATCTGAATTTTTTCAAATATGATGACGTCATGATTGTCATGGGAACATGGTGGGAAGGCTAAGAATTCACCGCAGGCTCAATTTCAGCTTTGATGCACATGCTCAGATGTGCAATGAAGCGTTTTTGCCGCCTCTGATCGAACTTATGTGGACACGAAACATTTTATCCGTTTCCATGTGGACAGAAAACTTTTTTTGTGGGACAAAAGTTGCGGATTCAAATTTATCTGGCATAGTGTGGCAAGGGCCTCAATCTCCTCAGAATTGAAAACCTATTGTTACAGTATGTTCTCCAATAAGCCTTTTCATAGTTTAAGAATCGATTCCACTGCGCATGCGATTTTATCCCGAATTTCGCATTTTCTTTTGTTTAATTAAGAACAAAAGAAGGTTTAAAAAAAAGAAGGTGAGAAATTCGGGATAAAATCGCATGCGCAGTGGAATCAATCCTTAAACTATGAAATCATTTGAGCTCCAACATGCTGCAGGGGTTCTATTGTTTTAGACCACTAGTAGTGAAAAGTAGCGGTTTTGAAAATTAGAAAAAAGCAAAAATAGTTATTTCTTCAACCTAATTTCAACCTACAGTACCATGTATTGAACTCTACTTATTTCGTTTTCTATTATGTTTAATAATTTGAGCATCACATTCTAATGAGGACTTTGAAACCACTCTAAAATATAAGTTAAGCTTATTCATAAATATAAATATATATAAATATAAGTTCAGCTTATAATTGTTTGGTTTTAAAGCTAAAGCAGATCATATTCTTTTGGGAACTTACCGAATGCCTGCCATTTTCGATAACATATAAAAATCTGTCACCTTTTGTGACAAACAATATTTCCTTTTCCTTTTTAGTTAAGATTGAACGTATTAGACAACGAGAGAAGAGACGAACGCGAGAAAAACATGCAATGGTTTTAACTTCAAACCCGTCCGCCATTACACATTTCCCACGATACACCTCCAGCGCTGTTGTCAAAGCAGTACACAGGGAGCCCATGAGGCATAGAGAGTAACGTCTGCCGTAGAAACGTTTAATTTAATTAACCCGACAAAAGGATTTGATATTTAAAGTTGTCATACAGATATTAATAAAATTGTAAAGTTTCGTGAAGGTTGCACTTAAACTATGGAAGATATGGTTGATTTAACATAATAAATATTTTTTTACATGTATTCAGGGGCGGCTTGTCTCCCTCGCATCCGTTAGTGTCGGTCGTCACGCAAAAGATGCGAGGGAGACTAGGGGCGGTGGAAGCTATAAATCTTTGGGGGGACACTGTAAAAAATCTTTAGGGAAGCCCTGCAAAAAGTCACAACAATAACTTAAAAAACAGTAATAAAAATCGAATCTATGCATTTATATTTCAGGTAAACCAATATTTGGGATGGGGGGGGGGGGGTGCAGATTTCGTGGCCCAGTTCCCCCACCCCTGGTTTTTTAGTTTGGGCAATCATTATACACTCGGTGAAGGTGAAGGGAGATTTTCGAACATCACAAAACAAACCCCACAAAAACACAATTTCTAACTCAAATCTTAGCTAAAAATGGTTCTTCAACTATCAAACTATAAATTTGACAACATATTTGTCGGAAAAATCAAATTCGAAGCTTTTCTCTAAGCATATTTCCAAAGCATTTGAAATTCTTTCCAAAGCAATTGAAATTCTAACCAACATTCATTACAAATTCAGAAACATTATGATCTTCACTAACTCTGCGCTCGGCTAACTCTCTAGACTTAGAGTCGGGTTTTCCCTGACTTGGACGCGTGGGGAGCGGGAACGAGTTTTAAGCGGAACTCCCAGAAAGACGGGACCAGGGAGAAAAACTCAACTGGTGAGTCTGGAGGGAAAGAGGGACAGACTACAAGCATTTGAATGGGGTTTAAGTATGTTAGGAAATGGCCATTTCCTGAAGACAAGTCTTTGCTAATACCTTTTTAAAAGTTACGTTAGTCGACCTTGAAGACGTTATCTCTTGAAATACTGAATAACCTTAGTAACCTTATGCGTGTGTGATAACAACGATCATAGCAAAACAAATTAATTTTGTTTAAGGGTTGTACGTAAATAAACATGTCTGTACAAATTATTATTAAATTCATTTAGTATCCCACGACGAAAGTCGGACTGAGTGAAGTCAGGCTCGCTTTGTGTATTGTTTATAAAGGAGGACGGTTCGTTATTCTCATCATCGTATTCAATGTTTGACTGTCATAGTTGTGTTAATTCGAGAAGAAAGAATAAAATATCGCAGCTCCCATTCAAGTTATGCAAGATTTCCTTTAAAAAAATCGGTTTTAGGTAGCCAGGTCTCGGTCAACTGAGGGAGGAGGAGGGCGGCTTAGCATTTTCCCGCTAAAACAAAACGCGTGCGCGTTTCATATTCGTAGACTTTCCCCGCCATATCCGCTATATCCACCCCTTCAGTGAAACTTCGGCTGGGCAGGTCGTGCCAATGTTCTCCCCTCGCTACGCTACTGGTTTTTCTGGCTATGCTCGTGCTAGTCTAGTGTTCAGAACACTGAATAACAAGTCTTGATCAAGGGATCTTTCCCTTCCTAAGTTGTGGCATCGATTTACATGTAGTTTTGAGTGTTTTAACGTATAAAAAATCGCATCCGCTACAAACCTTAAACTACGCTATACACTATACGGAGCTTTAACGTCAGGAATTCTCCATTTGACAAACAACTATGAAATACGCCAAAAAATGATTTTTTGAATACTGTAAAAAGGAGAAATCCAATCTTGAGACTTGTAAATTCTCTCAGCTTTAAAATACTAAATCATTCGATCTGAGGCGGATATGTTAGCACTAAAACAATGCTGAAATCCCGGCTGAGGTGTGGTTGAAGAGTTTGGGCCAGACCGAAAGGAAACTTTTTCATCCTCATTTTTTCATCTCAACAATAATAATAATAAAGTTTATTTATATAGCGCTCATATCCATGAGCATGTCCAAGGCGCTTTACAACAGAAATATATGCATAAATTATATATATGTATTTACAATATTTACAATGCTACGTATTTGAAATATTAATAAGTAAATCTAATTATAAAAGGAAAAACTTATCTTAAAAGCCTAAAGGCAATATGCATAAAAGCAGGAAATGAATCAAACAAAAGAGATCTAAATATATTTCCTATTATTAAGGAATAAAGTAAATAAATAAGTTTTAAGCTTACTTTTAAAGGAAGCAACAGTAGTACAAGAGCGAATCTCAAAAAGGAGCCTATTCCATAATCTGGGAGCAGCAAAGGAAAATGACAATGCGAAGATAAGATATGATATACTCTTATGACCGTATGATTGACGTGTATTTATACTCACATTCATTTTCTTTTGAGATTGGTTGTTATCAGTGTTTTCATTATTTATCCGCTTGTCATTTTTAACCTGCTTTCTTCCAGTGATACCGAATCTTTTGAAATGAATCGCCATATTATCGGACCCTTTATTGCGATCCTGGATGAAGTTTATACTAATGATTTATCAACGGACAACCTTGACTGATATGCAGCTAACACTAGGACAGAGAAACCACATATAACATTAGCTCGAGAAAGCAAACTTCGAAGCAAAGGTTCCAGCGTAAAACAAAAGAATGAAAGACAAAGCTAAAGCCAATTTGCAACAACGAAAGAGGGTTGAAAGGCTCAACAAAGGTTTTGATGACTTGAGAAGAGTCCTAAGAATCGACATGGATACATCAAAAATTTGGACTCTAACCAAAGCGAGCAAGTACATCGATCAGTTGACACGATTGCTCAATGAAAGTACTTCTTATGAAAAGAATTGCGAAAGTGGTGAGGTATGCAAGGTTTAATGGATAAAACTAACTAAAAAGCATGATGCGCATATTTTAATTACTATTAGTGCTTATGATTCTAAAGTATAAATAGTACATAAATAGTACAAAACAGCGCAATGTCAACTGTTGTTTTTAGTTTCATCAGTATTTATACAGTATGCAGGGAACATGGGGTGGTGTACGCTACTAATGCGTCGCCTCTCACCAACTTATACCAATCAACAACCTGCATTCGTTTCCGGTGTCATGTGTGAGTAGAGTTGCTTGTTGGTTCTCTCCTGTGCTTCCCGTGGTTTGCTCTGGGATCTCCAGTTTTCCCCCCTCCTTAACAATCAACTTCTAAATTTTAATTCATTCTGTGCGGCTTCGCTTAGAAGTTAAGGCTCTGATGTGATCCAGTGCGTTAGGCTGGGATATTATTTATACCTAGTTATATATTATTACTTAATAGATAAAGAGTTTGCATTCCATAAAATTTTGAATTTATAAATTTGAAAAATCGTGCATAAATCTAAGTTGGTACTTTGGTTACATCCTGATGACCACTCATTTTAACAATGTTTTCTCTGTAATTTATCTTTTTCTATAGATTACTAAGTTTGAAGTGCAAGAGTTCCAGTGTCCTGAAAGATTACACCACCACAACTAAACGCATCGAGTTAGTAATGCAAACATTAACGAAAGGTTATTTTACTTCTCAAGAGAGTTATTTATTGTTATTGTTCTGTGGAGAGCCTGACTTCTCAACTCAAGCTGGCTCCCTGATGATATGAACTTTTGTTGCCAAAATGAACTGTAGTCGACAAAATCAAATATCTGTTAGATAAGAAATGTTTATTATTTGTACAAATATCCACTGTTATCTCTTGACATAACTGGTCCGCCTGGTTCTCACTACCCTTCGAACAAAGTCTCATTTAAGGTCCTCCACGGTCTGTAGGTTCTTAGTAGCGACGCAAGCATAAGCATAAGCGTAAGTCAAAACAAAGAAAAACAAAATCTTCCGTTCTTTAGCGCTTGCGTTGCTTCTTTTCATATTGGGAACATAGAATTGCGCATGCTTGCGTCGCTATTCATCCAGGCTTTGCTTATTAAATTTTGAGCTTCAACAAAATATCTTTAAAATCTTTTAAATTTGAATTTTGATAAATTTTGATCCATCGATCTCCTATGATCCTGTTTTTCTTTTCATGATTGTTTTTTCCTCGTCAATTTTACTGTTAATCATGTTTGTATTGTATGTATATTGTATGGAGAGGGAAAATCAATTGGGACGAAAGTTCTGTTTTCTTCGCCAGTCACAAAATTTGTATGTCTCAAGTTTTATAAAATGCATATGTTTATATTGTGACAAATAAACTAAACTAAACTAAACTAAACTAAACTAAACTTAACTAAACTAATATCAGTTACTTTAGCATTCTTAGTGTATAATGGAATACAAATAAATCCAATTATTTTATCAGCAACGAAAATCACGCAAACGTGTTATGGTGAGTTTGCCTAATGGTCGTGGGTCGTGGGTCGTGGGTNTTGAGAGTTAGTAGGACTTTCAAAGGAATGTTACTAAGATGTGGGTGGGCTCCAAAAATAGCAGCAACACAAAACTTAACTCAAACTTTTTCCTTGATAAATCGTTTCTTTGAAAATGCATGAGACTCCATTGTTGAATTCTCTCAATTTTCCTGTATTTACCAAACATGACACTCTCGTCTGATTTATGATATCGCCGTTTGGTTTCACCTAGAATTTCAAAATTTATGTTTATAAACTAGCAAAATATACTGAGCAAAAACTTTGAAAATTTCCAAATGCAAAAAGAACGAAAAAGATAGAAATACTCATTACATATAATTTGATAATCATACAGTTTTTCAAACAATTTATTTTGGCTTTTGTCGAGGCTTGTCACCCTTCAAAGATATTTTTAATGTGATTAAAGTGAAGATTTTAAAAATAGATAAAATAAAACTTACTCTCCCGAACAAGAGTAAAATTCAAGGAATCAACTTCGTCACAATAGAAAAACTTCCTTATAGTGGTGGTTAAGTACAGGATAGCCCTTAAATAAACTTTAGCACCTAAAATAAACACATTTGGAAAATGAGTTGTTATCGACAATATTACTCGAACAACAGACCACTTGACGATTGGGAGCCATCTTTTCGGAAACACGCCTTTTAGTTTTCCTGACAAATTGATTTTGACGGCTGGGTTTTAGTTAAAAACATAGACTATAAATCACTTGAAACTACAGGGTATATATTCATATTCAACTTGGGGAGGAAAAGCGTTCAGCTTTTAAAATAAAATAAACTGGAAACTGGAAACTGTCGTGCGTAGAAGTTTTTCATGTTAGTATCCTCCGGCCATTGTAAGATGATTTTTGTAGATTTGATGTAGGCTTTTTTAAACTTTTTTTCTGATTCAAAAGCGATCTTTCGGGTAAGTATAAACACTTTTTTTAAACCGAGAAGAATATTCCAATTTTTTCATACAGTTATTTTCATGATTTTAAGGTATAAAATTAATATTAGCTCATGATATTAGTATTTGTGGTTTTCACTCTCTCAGTGCCTTCCTTTATATATGTAGAAGAAACAACTGAATATTTAATTTTCTCTTGATTTGTTTCGCTTTGATTTACCAAACTTTCAAAATTCTTTAAAACTGCAAATTTACTTTCAAGACTAAAAAAGTGTTGAACCCGACTTTAGAGTTAAGTTTTCAAGAGTTTCAATAGTTAAAAACAATGCTTTTCCGTTTAAGATGTCTGGCTACAACAACTGAATAATATACAGCCACTAAATCGGAGTCGGCTGAACAAGAATTGAAAATTTATTCACCAGAAATGGCCTTCCTAATAAATCATCTCATTGATAAACGATTCAACCTCTACAATTATCTATTTTAAATGAAAGATAAATCCAAATATTATGCTAAATATTGAACAATACTTTTTTTTCCAGGTTGGAGTCACCCAAAATGACAAAGAAAAAAGTTCTCATCATTGTCATCGTTCTTGGAGTCCTAAGCTTCGTCTTCTTCATTGCTGGGATAATATTTTTTGCCACTGGAAATAAAAGACCAGAAGCCAAATCGGTAAAAACCAGTTGTGACTATTCCGAGGAAGCTAAAAGAGTTGGGCTTCCAAAGTTGTTGCAGAAAGCGAAGGACACTTATTTTGAGATGCATCCAGAAAGATACTTCACCAAGACAGAAGGAATCTCTGTCAAAGAATTGAAGCAGAAATACAAATCTTACGACCCTTCTCCTGAAAAGATTAAACTTCGAACCGATACCGCGAGAAGACTCTACCAGGAAATAAAAAACACTAAAGTAAATTTTGATAGGATGAAAGAGAGAGAAATCAAAGCTTTCTTCCAATTAACGTTCTTCGTGAAATTTGTATTTTCGACCCCATACGCAGGGAATTATTATAATGGAGACTGGATGATGGGGCCAGACAGTTTTTGTTATAACCCTATCTGTGATATGCCGTACTATATTGAAAATAACTTGCAGAATTTTAAACCTTCAAATGTAAAAGACTTTGAAGAATTGGAAGAGAAGCTGAAAGAAGTGAATGAAACTTTCTTTCGTTACATCGAGAATTTAAAATTTGGGGTAAAGGCCGGGATGGTTGGGACGCAAGAAAGTTGTTATGCTGGATTGCAGGCTTTAATTCTGAAATATGGGAACGTTTATCGCAAAGGAGAGGAAGGTAAGCAGAAACCGTCCGTATATTTCAGTATTTCACATTGTTGTTGTTGCTGTTGCTGTTGTTGTTTTTTTTTTTTTTTTTTTTTTTTTTTTTTTTTTTTTTTTTTTATGTTCTTTGATTATTCATATCTGGAATGTTTAGAATAGAAAAGTCAAAATTAACATTAACGTGCCCAATAAAAATTGTACTATAAAAATGTTGGTATTGCACAAGAGTTATACAGAAATGGAAACTAAATATTCGAGATGATTCGAAAGCACAAAGTAACGCTCACCTTCCAAAAGCTCCAGAAAAAAACGCCAAAAAAAATTATAAAACCTCAAAATGCTTCAGGTCTATTCTCTACTTTCACATCCCATATAATACTTTGCGTCTTTAGGGGGTAACCAGAGGGTAAAAACCCACTTATTTTGCTGAAGGCTGATCAGACAATGTTGACAATACCTTGTTTGGTGTCCAAAAATAAAATGAAGAAGTAAAAAACAGAAAAAGATAGAAGCTTGAAGGCGTTTGAGGTAAATTTTTAAAACATTTTCGTAAGGCAATACATTTTCTGTAAGACCAAAACTCTTGCTGATCTGTACAAGCAAAAATAACTTGGAATAAACTGATTATCAGTATTGTACATATAAAAGCAGGTATAGTATAAATTCAATTAAGAAACCTTTCAATTTGAGACAGTTTTTTGATTGGTTACCCCCCAAAGACGCAAGACATTATGGGGATGTGAAAGTAGAGAATAGAGATTGCTTCATGGTTGGTGGGCACGCACGAATTTTTTCTCGAGTCGTGAAGAATTGCAAACGAATGAGTCTTGTCCCTCCCTAGAGAGCTTGTGTAGCGCAGGTTGGACTTTTTTGAATTGTAAATATTGACTTCAAAAATGACTTGTAAATTTGATATTATACTTTTGACATTTATTTCATCACTACCAGGATGGCCGAGTGGTTAAGGCGTTGGACTTAAGTTCCAATGTACGAATGTACGCGTGGGTTCGAACCCCATCTCCTGGTACATTTTTTACCATTTACTGCTTTGGGAAAGTAAACTTAATAGCGCAGCGCACTGATTCTAAAAATAGCTTAAAGATTCGGACAAACATTGCATTCTGTTTAACCGCTACGAGGATTATACGAACCGATTTTATTATTTTTACTTAAAGTTACAATAATAACCCATGTAAACTAAGATCAACTGCGATCGGCTGTGAAAATTATCTGCTGAAAGTAAACTTGTAAGTTTGTTGTCCAAATTTCGCCTTTGTCTTCGTTTTTATGACGTCACGGATGCGCTGCGCTATTGTCAGTGCGCCAACAATTTTATTATTATTTCTAATATATAATGTAGATAATTATTAGCATCTACTTTTCTTTTTGTTTTGTATTAAAGACTCTCGTAATCAGATTGGTTCATCAAAGTCATATGACCTGGAAGTCTGATCGGCCGAGCCAAGGCAGTATGAACTATTTCGGCCTTCGGCCTCATGGGCTATTGACTCATAACCTATTCGTGCTCGAGGATTAATTGCTAAATGTTATTATAACGACATGGTGGAGTTGATATCGAACATGACAGTTTTATTCATTTCATGTATGAAGTGCGTGTAAGGTACTTGTCCATTATGTGGACAGCGGTATTCGTGTTAATGTAGGAGGTCGCAACACGCCGTTATGGCTGGGGGGGGGGGGGGGGGGAGTTAACACGAGGACATTCTTCCGTTACCGGAGAGAAGCAAAGGCCTAGGAGGACACTGGAGAGAAACGTTTGCGCATGCGTGCATTTCAGCACGTTTTCTAAGATTTAGAACATTTTGAGTGAAAAAATAAATGTTCGTTCTTCGAGTGTACAAAAAAATTCCCGAGTATACTTTTGTGATATTAAGATACTGTATTCACAAACACAATATGAAAGAATTAGCCTTGAGTTTCAAGCAAAGGCACTAAGTTTTGATATTTTCTGAAGTCCAATCTATCCAGCATGTTTGAAAGTGAAATTTGCCTATTTTTACAATAGCAGAGCATGCGCAAACGTTTTTCACTCGTGTCATCTGGGAGTCGTTCATTTTATACTGCGCAGTGCACTGCCCACAATGCAATAATTATTCTTAAACTAATGATTTAAATATTTATCATTACCAGGATGGCCGAGTGGTTAAGGCGTTGGACTTAAGTTCCAATGTACGAATGTACGCGTGGGTTCGAACCCCACTCCTGGTATATTTTTTCCCCATTCACTGTTTTTAGGGAAAGTACCTTACATTAGGCAATGTGCGCGACAAAACAAGTAAAATACTGGCATTGTTTTTCACAATTGTCAATCATAGGTTGCTATCAATAAACGTCTTGTCATTAAGGTAATACTAAAGCTTATGTTATATATGTACATACAGAAAATAGTTAAAATTCTGAGCTAATAGTGCTTAAACTATAATGAAAACTAAGAATAAATAATAATTTTATTATATGACTTAGTAAATAGATAAAATAAATAAATAAATAATAAAAAGTTGATAGTAAGCATGCATATAAAAGATTCTAAGGCCCCTTTTTAATGTTGAAGTTTCTTATGAAAAGACTCGTTACCAGTCTCGTTCATTCCAAAACAACCAACAAGATCACGTGATTTGGAAGTTTACTTCACGCGAGCTAATCAGAAACATTTAAAAGCGCGCGCTTTTTCTTATAGGTATGACGTAGACCTCCTGACATTGTGACGTTGACATCGAACATGATTAATCCATAATTTGAAACATTCAGTTCCAGAGATTTCAGGCATTTAGTGCGTGTCTTACAAGGCATCACGCAGTTCATAATCATCTTCAGTGTAATCACGTGAGCATAGATGGTGAGGACTTGCAAAAATGTTTTCTAAGAAGAATGAAAATGTTTCAGTTGCGTTCCGATGTTTTCTGGATAAAATGACGGTTATGTTTCATATTTCAATCTAAAATGAATTTACGTTGTTTGGCTGTGAATATTACAAATTAAATTGCAGTGTAACTCGGTCTTAGATTTCATCAGATATCAGGTTTCCAACCGACAACGTTTTATGAAATAGCTTTTTACTGTGGTGTTCATAGAGCTTGCGTCATTTATTGATGTTTAAGATGCAAGAAAAAAAAAACGATCACCATTTATTTCATTTTTTTGTTATGCAGGCGCTTACACCCGCAACAGCTCTGACAATCCATCCAGACGGCAGAGGTGACGCGCAGAATCATTTGGACTTCACTGGTGTCCTTGATCTGATATATCGTCTGATATATGGTGAGAAAGATACTCTACAAGGTCAATATGATGAGACCATCATAAAATAATTGAACAAACCAGCTAGGGGTCAGTGTGTAAGCTAGGAACACTTTTACCACGTAATTTGCATGTAAAGCTGGCAGTTATATCATTCAAACACAAAGTCTTGTTGCAATAAATAATTACAAACACTTCCTTGTTTCGCAAACATTTCTTACAGAAGATCAAGCTGTCCCGATGCATACCATGCATCCCTGAAGAAGAACCGAATACCTGGAATAACAAAGTTAAAGTAATGAAAAGAAGGAAGAGAAGCGGAGCGAGAGGCAGAAGAAAAAGAAGGCCAAAAGTCAAAGGCAATGTTAATTACGGGTCAATGACGGAAACATCTATAATTGTTGATGATGTTGGACTATTAAGACGACTGTGGCAATGGATTTGTTCATGGTTTTCATGGAAAACAATACCAACATCATCATCCGAACTAGAACGTAGCATTGTGCACTTGCAAGATGTGGGTATTGGGAAAGAGATCAAAGTGGATTGGAAGGAAAAGGAATTGGAAAAAAGGGATGTTCAAAATGCTGCTGATGAGATGAAAGGACTGGATTTGAAGGGCGGAAATGTGTCCGATGGAGAGGATTCTGAGAATTCAGAGCAAATCAGGTTGAGCCTAACAAGCTGTGATTCTGCTGAGATGAGTAAAAATATTGTACAGGAAAGACTGGTGATGATGGATGACCTGACTACATCACAAAGTTCTGAAGCACGTTGGACAAGTGAGAAATCCTTGTCTATGGAAGAGGGTTCTGATACTAAGGACGTTGCTTCTGTCTGCTGCTATTCAGCGACATTAGACACTCATGCAATACAAAAGACCGACAGACCAAGCACATTCAGTCTGGGTCCACTGAAACAGCTTGAGAACAAACCAATTGAGAAGTCAATTACAGAAACGTGGAACGTTTTGGAAGCAGAGAGCAAGACTGTTCTGAATAAGGAAGACGTTTCGAACACTAATGACAGTACTTATGTTTGCTACCATAAAGAGGCATTAGACTCTGATGTTCTACCGAGGACCAACAACCCAAACACCTTCAAACTGTTTCCATTGCACGAGAAACAGCTGGATGATAAAGATGCCAAGCTACGGTCTGAAGCATCGTGTAAAACTCCAATCAATTCAGGAAGAAACGATGTACCAAACAGATCGACAAGGGACGCAGCAGGGACACTTAATGTCGCATCAGTTCCTTGTAATGTACTGTCCAGCGATGATGGATCGACTTTTAAAGGTAAGACAGAGGTTCTTCTAGGACTGAAGAATGGGACACGTCAATATGACGTGCGGACTAACTAAATAGGTTGTGCCCGATTTCATATACTGAGCAAGTATATTTTTTCCTTTTGCGCACCTTGGGATTATGAAGGCTTTCTATTCAACCTGCAACTGACTGAATTTACATTCCTGCACCGAGTGCCACAATAGGTGTGACAACTATTGGAATCCTTTTACAGTAAACAATTTCAACAAAACTTACGGATATATTGTTTCTTTTCATTTTCAAGTTGTCAGCAAGTCAACTAATAGACAACACGCCGGATCAAGACAAAAAAGCATCCAACATAAATACCATACGTCGTCTTCAACTAGTCATGCTTATTACAAACCAAAGACAACCGCTGCAGGATCTTACAAACCTAAATCACGAAGAAACAACAGAAGGAACAGACACAGGAAGAACTGGAATCACAACTATTTGTATAAAAAGTCAGGTAAAGAACAAGTCAATCAACTAGTGTATAAAGATGGGAAGGATGTTCCAAATTCAAAGATGACCTACGCTGAAGTCTGTTCTGCATCTGCATCGACTAACGCTGTGATGAACAGAGTGTCTACAGGTTTGCCCCGTAAAGATGAACACAAGAAAACTGCAAGTACGTTGCCCTCCATGGAAGAAAGCACTATAAAAACCAACGAAAGTGAAAGTGAAAGTGTAGGCTTCGATTATAAGATAAAGGTGTCTGCAAATTTGTCTCATGACACGACATTCGAAGGTTCGTCGTCCAATGATGCCAGGTCTTCAAACTTGAGTCCTTACAAGGAGACTATACGATTGTCTACAAGAGAAAATAATAATGACAAGGAAACAGGATACTTGCAAACAAGATCCGATTCAAGACCAACAAAACAAACAAACAAGTCCGAAGAAAAACGACTAACAAAACGAACCTTGTCCTTTAGAGACAGTTCGCAGCCAAATGTCAAGGTCACGTCAAAAAAGACCTACGCACGGATGGTGTTGGGTGCAGGCTTGGCCTCTTCTAATCCTAGTCCCAGAAGATCACTCCTCGAGTTCGCTGCTGTCAGAACAAGGCCAAGTCATCTTGTTTGCACTGCAGAAAGCACAAATTGTTTCCCTTCTCTCACATTAGTTCCAATATGCGAAATATCGTAAATTTTAGTATATAGCTTTTTTTCATTCCATTGTTCATGCCAATAAAGTTTGTAACATTTTCTTCTTAATATCGTATAATTTTTTGGCTATTAAAAATTTATTCGATATCCAAAACAGGATAAATAAAAATTTTATTGAAGGCCCACTTTCCATTTCACAGAATTAAAAAATGCTTATTTGAAAGATGTCATTTTGAAAAGTCCAAAATCACTCGCTCTTTCTTCAAATTTTATTTCTAATCAAATGAAATATTATTTCTACAAAGGAAATGGTATTTCACGGTAAAATTAAAAACTAGTCTAAGAATTCCCTTCAATACGAAAGCACAGATCTTATGCACCAGTGAATTGAATTTTTAATTTTGGACTAGCTCTTAAATCATCCGAATGTTAATTAAGCTGAAACTTTTCTGGAATAACCCGGTCTTATAATCACTGGTTAAAGTTTTTTCCTGATATTCGGATGGGAAGAGTCTGTGACGTCATACACACAACACTAAACATCGCTCCGGCATAGCTCCATACATTTCTTTGTATTTTGTAATCAAAATATCCGCTGAGTTTTAAAAGATACCATAAAATGATTTTTACCACGAGTTATGTACGTAAAGTCCCTCAGTGGACCTTTGATCTTAATAGAATTAAAGTAAAACATGAAGTTATTTACAAACAAATGTATGGAGCAATGTTTAGTGTTGAGTGTRTGACGTCAGAGACACCTATAGAAATTCGTAAAAATATAATACTTTCCAATGGGAATAAAGAAAGAACTTTAACCAGTTATTTTTAGACCCTTAAAAATTATTTTTTTGAAGATTTACGTGCTAGTCCCCCTTTAAGAATTTTATCAGGAGCCGAGCAGAACGCGTGATACAGCAGGCTTTTCTAGGGTCTTCCTTTCGAGCATCGCCAACTTGAAGAAGTGAGAAGAGAAGGTTCTTGGGAACGAGGTTAATATTGAATAAATATATAATTAACATAGAAACGAGACGAATGGTGAGTCGTGTATTTACAAACTATAAAGTTAATCTGAAGAGAAAAATTGAGAAGGAAAAGAGAAAGCGCTTTATACATCCACACTGCAGTGGCGGATCCAGGACTTTAAGAGGGGGGTTCATTCTTGCAAATTTCGGCACAACAATAACGTTCTCTTGCATCATCATTTTTCCCATGAGGCACATCACTGCCCTAGGGGCGCTCCTGATAAGGATAACCTATCCACCACTCCCATTTCATATTAAATCTCATGAGTTAGTTCAGTTTAACCTTGAATATTTCTGGATACCTACCTATGGAACTGGGTGTGTCGACTAGTTCCATTCGGCGAGGATGGCGACGTGCAAAACTATCTGTGATCTTTTCAGTGTTTAACTCCATGTCATAATGGATGTGAGCCATCTCTTTGGTTTACAATAACAAGCCACCTTCCACTTCTCTAACAAGCTTAAACAACTGCACACTACTAGCGGGAAAACGCGGGAAGGGGAGCAAGGCAATTCAGGCCCGCGCGCCAAAAAGAATAGAGGTATACCAATCCGGCCTTCCAGGCCCGATTATTGTGGGCGAAGTTGCTAATTTTCAAAAAGCGGACCTACCATACTTTTATTTATTCATTTTAATAAATACAAAAAATCCAAGGTACCAGCCGGTGGGGGGTTCATTTGCACCCACTGAACCCCCCCTAAATCCGCCACAGCTCTGCGATATCTTATAATCAACGAAACAAGAACAAAACTCACCGTTCATTTTCCATACATTGCTTTACTAGACAACACAATGGTGAGGTTTTGCAAAGATGTTTTCTTGTTTTTGTAAGAAGACTGAAAATCTTCAGTATGCTGTTGGAGTTGGAACATGTATCTGAATTCGCTGATATCTGCTTAATTTACTCATTTCATTTTGACATACCTATTTCAAAAACCTTCGTAGGTCAGAGATCTGAAATGGGCGATCTGAGACTAAAAGGAATGTTTGTCCTCGTATGTTTTCTAGTTAAAATCTCATTAATAATTAACTGAGAGGCTCGTCAACCTATAGAGTGGTTTTCATGAAACAGATGAAACAAATGCTAAAGTGTATTTAATGGGTTTATCACAACCATCACGTGACTTGTACCGTCCAATATATCGCTGTCTTAGATGGGATCAAGGTTTTGCGCTCCCGGGAGACAGAACCAAAACCAAGTACCCAAAACCAGGGGAGGAGGGATGAGGGAGGCGTTCTAGTTCCATTTGTAGGTCTTGTGTCGTTATATCGTTCCTTTTCTAGTTCTCAGTTCTTTGTTACAAATGCATCGTTTAGTTAGTCAGATTTTACCAGGCAATGACCGTTGAGTCATATTAATGAGCTTACTCCTGCAGTAGTATCGCTTGAGGTTATGGCTGCCGTTGTTTTTACTCTTTCTCAATTATCGAAGCGTTGAAAGATTAATTCATTATCAGCCTTCATTATTGCTCGAGATTATGGCCTTGGTACTTTGGAACACGTATTAGATCACGGCACAGCTACTACATTTGACTACTTGTAATCTCCAATGTTGAATGAGTAAAAAAAATTATTTGAAGTATTTGATTATTCTCGACTTTCACATGCCCATAATGCCTTGCGTTCTTGGGGGGTAACCAATCAAAAAACTGTCCCAAATTAAAAGGCTTCTTAATTGAATTTATACTATACCTAGCCCTGCTTTTATCTTTAAAATACTGATTATCAGTTTATTCCAAGTTATTTTTGCGTACAGATCCTGAAGAGTTTTGGTCTTACAGAAAATGTATTGACTTACGAAAAAATGTTTAAAATTTTCCTTAAACGTCTTCAAGCTTCTTTTTCTGTTTTTTACTGCTTCATTTTATCTTTGGATACCAAACAAGGTATTTTCAACATTGTCTGATCAGCCTTCAGCRAAATAAGTGGGTTTTTACCCTCTRGTTACCCCCCAAAGACGCAAAGGATTATGGGGATGTGAAAGTCGAGAGAAAAAAAAATGCTCCATCGAAACAAAATGTGAATATTTTCTGAATTTGTGAAACTCAGGGTACTCAAAGCCACTTGGGATAACCCTGGATCCTCCTCTAGATGGGCTTAAATCATAACTATACACACATGCACAAATGGAAATAAATTGTATTTATATTTGAAAGCGATGCTCTGATTAAAAAAAAGTGATTTTCATTTAAGAAAATGTACAAATATATTATATACAGTATATCGCTGAGTAATTGTGATTATGACCTTCTGTAATTTTCTTAGAAAAAGAAAAAAACAACAAACAATCGAAAAAAAATTGTAGTAGAAGATGCGTGCGTAAACTTGATATATCTAATACATTCTGTTGGTAGAAAGAGTGATTTTACAGGTCCGTGAAAGAAAGTTAACGTTGACTCACAGTCAAAATATAAATATAAAAATAAAAATCTGGCGTAAATGTCTACTACTATGTATTATATGCTTCCTACTCTTTCACGGGCCAAGTAAAATCTATTATAAACAAACTATTAGACTACTGCAAATTGTGCAAATTGTACGTTGTGATTGTAACCGAGTAGAGTACAAACACTAAGTGTGCAACACTTTGCACTATTTAGTAGTAAATAGTGTTAATTAAACAATAGAAAACAATAGGATTAGCATTATTTAGCAGTATTTAGTGGTATTGATGTTACACACTTATAGTGTTTGTACTCTACTAGTGGTACAAAAAAGGGTAGATTTTGAAATATTACAGTCCGAACATTAATTCAAATTGTTTTCTTATCACTATTCAATTATTTTTTTCACACTAAATCAGGTATAGTAGACCTCTTTGCGGATTCCCCGCTGCCATTTTAAAACAGCAAGAAAGTGGCCAGCCTTGAGTTTCGAGTCGAATAAAATAAAGTCTTTTGCTTTTTGTTTTTCGAGAATCTTGTATGAGCAAAAATATTTTATGYAATAAAGTCTCGTTACTTTTTTTCATTGCACGTTACTTTTGGCTCAAGGTCTGTCTCTTTCTTCCCATTCTAAATGGAGGTCTGGGATGTTAAGAGTAATCTATTAGACATGAGCTAGGGGCTAACCGCCCAGTAGGCTGCACTTATAATCATTAAGAGAAATTTGTTTTTCAATAACGAGCAATAATGGCATAAAGCCATTGGGTTAACACTCAAAACCTTTTTTTATCAGTTAGAAACTGATGTACTATGAGAATGCTTGTTTGAAGCGGTATTTTCAATTGTACGAAGATGTTTTATTGTATTTGTGTTAGAATGTAGATTTATCAGGCTTTTTTTTTGCAGAAAATGTATGGAAAATAAGCAAATGAAGGCCTAAACCTCATTTTCGATTCAAATTTTTGCTTTGGGTTAACACTTTGATTCCACTTTCATCGGTCATCTCCACTTCCAAGCAAGTTAATCTTTCTGAATAACAAGATTTTAGCCTTGTACAACAGCCTTTCTTCAAGAGAAAATAGTTTTTGGCGCTCACCGCTTGAATACGAAAATATTTCTCTCTTAATAAATATTGGATTGTCGTAGTGAAGATTAAATAATAGCATCAAATTTGAGCCCGTGGTCTTAAGGGTTGCTTATCAAATTTACGTGAAATAAATAGAGGTCCACATTTGAGACTATGGGAATATGGGATTTTCCGAAACCACGAGTTATTTGAGCCAAAGGTAAGAGGGATATGGATACCGCTTGAAAGGATGAATGCATAGGGATAAAAATAAAATATCCAATTGAGGATACGAGATATTCAGATTTTCACTAATAGTCCCCTTAACTTTGTGCCATCTTGAAAGGTAACGTTGCCTGTGTATCGAAGTTGGAACGGTGGCCTTGCAATGACAGAGACCTTTTTTAACACCTGGGAAAATTATTAACAGGTCCCTTTCTATCATTACACGGTTAACGCTGTCTTCGCGTCGATTCACAAGCACGGTTACCTTTCGAGATGGCGCAGAAAACTGTGAAGGTACTATTGGGCCTCAGTTTAGGCGACCGTATGCATCGATCACCATTCCGCTAAAAAGCCACATCAATGCCGGACGAATCCACTTCTTTGCTTTCTTTGGACTCGTCCAAGGCAGCGAAGTTAAATTCTTGCTGATCGTCAACGTTCTCTGGCATCGTCTCCGGTGTGATCCAGTCATCTTCATAGAAGGATTCTATATTCATTGAAGGATCTATTTTTCTTGCCAAGGCTTTAAGAAGCCGGTTTTGGGCTTCCATGGAATTGATAAGATACTTGACGCGTTTTTTGGTCTTGTCTACTTTTTTGCAGAGTCCTTTGTAACTGTCGTATGTTTCGCAATAGGAAGTGTATTCCAATGAAGAATCTTTGTATCCCAAAATTCTTCTTCTAAGTCTAAAATATGATAATAAAAGTGATCAGAATGACTGAGACTGTCAAATGAAATTATTTTGTCATCAACTGAGAGGCCACAAGTGAATTAGTAAATGCATGTGGCCAGTTTCATTTAATCTCATCACGAGATTAAAAATTCACGATTGAAAATTCATAGATTGAAAATTCACGAATCATTTTGGCAGCAGTAGCAATATGATACAATCTTTCAGGTGATGACTATTCAAGCCAGTTTTAATTCACTTTCGACGGAATCGGAGTCGCAGCTTATGATGAAGCTAGTGAAGACCAAAAACCGGAGTCGAAATCAGGATCGAAAGGTTTCCTTTTAGCTGGCTTACACTTCCGCTTACGTGTTTCACTTGCAATTTCACCCATGAACTGCGTCTGACTCTGACTCCACCGCAAGTGAGAACCAGGATTTAACAATCTCAGAATGATAGCAAGAAGGTGTCTTATGATAGAAACATGTGAGTCTAATAAAAGGTACTTGGGGTTAAAACAAGTTAACTCACCTTGTCATCAAACTGGGCTGATTAGGTCTTACAACAAGAACTTGTGTGTATATCATCCTGGAAATAAATCTGGGGTATTTGTCTTCAATTTGGGACACAAATTCTACTTGCATGGCTTGTCTCTTGAGAGTTGCTTCGCGTTGGATCTTATCGATGTCTCCAACAGCTAAACCGACCTGTAAAGTAAAAAATGATCAAGAGGGACCGTTAGTTACTCGGTTGGTTGGTTGGGGTGGTCAGTCATCCAGCCATCGATCTGGTGGTTGGTTTATCGGTCTATCGGTCAACCAGCCATTTGCCAACCCGGTGGTTGATTGGTCAGTTTATTGGTCAACAAGCCAGATGCCCACCTGTCGGTTGGGTTGTCGATTTATGGTTCAGTCAGCCACCCAGCTACCGGTTGATTAGTCGATCTGTCTTTTGGTTGTTTGGTCAGTCATTCGTTCAGAAGGTTTTGTGAAGCACGGGTGGGGTAGCAGTGAGAGCGCTCGCCTCTCGGCATCAATGCTACCAGGTTCTAGTCTACAAAACTTTCGCTGTTGTATCACAGCGTGGGACAATCACAACAGAGCTAGTTCCCAAACTAAGTGAAAGTTCGAAATATCGAATTAGAATTTAGAAGTTGATTTTTGAGGAGGGAGGAAAACCGGAGAACCCGGAGAAAAATCCTCGAAGCACAGGAGAGAACCAACAAACAACTCTATACGACGTCGAGATCGGCAGGACTCGAACTCGGGTCGCATTGGTGAGAGGCGGCGCATTAGCAGCGCACGCCACCGGTGCTTCCGGGCTTCCTACCGGGCTCGGCGTGTTATGTGAGTAGTAGTATACCTACCAACAGATTCATCAGCGATATCCCCATGATAAAAACAAAGAGAAATACAAACACAAATGCTGCTTCAGGGAATGGATTCTCGGGATTGTTGGTTTGGGCGTTGTTGCTTCCAATAGTTGATATAAAGGTGTCAACGTATTCGATTTCTCCAACCATCATGATGATTACTTTAACAAAAGCATGGCCAAGTGTCTGAAATGCAGCCTGAAAAAAAATCCTTATCCTTATTATTTCTATTTTAGCCTCAATCGAAGAGCATTGTGAGAAGTGTCCATTAGCATCATCACCTTTTAGTACATTCATCATCATCATCATCATTCATCATCATTTTCATCATCATTTATCATCATCATCATCATTCATCATCATATAAATCTTCCCCAAAAAGGAAAGCATCATCTTCATCATCAAAAGTAACCATCAACACTGTCCTCAATCTCACCAATAGGTAAAAGACTATTATATAACAACAAGGACTCTAGTAACGGATCCAGGGAGAGGGAGGGGGACAGGACATTTTTAAATTCTGTATTCACTTTTTACTGGTATGTATACTCAACATATGAATCCTCCTGGTTATTCGCCCTCACTTTCTGTTGATGCTTAACGTGATTTTTTGGATAATTGTTTCTAAATACTGCATGTACTTTAATAAACTCATGTATCTTTACCTATTCCTTGAAAAGTATGTAGAAGACAACACTAAAGGCAAACACAAAGACAATGAACACCACCATCACCTTAGTGACAGTCCAAATAACCTCCATGTGCATGCTAATGTACAGCCCAAGGGTCGCGAAACGACGAAGAAACAGCACAAAGTTGACGTAACAAAGAAAGATAGAGACGACAGCAATGATCCACATGATGTAGGGGTCTTTGAATCTCCCGTAGTTTATATCTACCCAACTGTCTGATGCCACATAGGGAATCATAAAAACAACAGTACTTCCATATAGGGCCCACTCCAATGCGTTGGTTGCCTGTTCAAATAATCAGTATTAGTCTATAACTCATGGTCTATTCTATTACAAATCCTTCACTGTATTTTTTAGAGTTGTCTATAACTAGGGCTTTCTGGAAAACAATCAGGTATAATATCCCATAATTTTTGATATAATTTCGATATACTTGTATATACGGAGCACAGTGCTGACGCCTTCCGCGCGCGGGAAATGCTGCTAGATCCTGCGACTGTCTTGGTTTTTGCATTTATAGTACACTCAACAAAATTACTCGACTCTGATTGGTCGAGAGGAGTACAATCATAGCGTTAATTGTACTCCGTAGGAGTACCGAATTAAGTCGCTATGGCAACACGGACAAAACAATGTCAAAACAATTATTTTCTATCATTTTGTACTTAAAAAACATATAAATAAAATTTTAAGCCGTAAGAACTAATATTTTTTATGCATTTCAGTTACGCGATGAGCTGAAAATCGGCCGCCAAATAGACAAAGATGAACGGCGTCGCTTCGCATTTTTTACTGAAATTTTGTTGAGTGAACTATAAACAAAAAATCGCACGATCTTCTCGTACAATTTGGAATTAATAGACACTCGTAATGTTTTGAAAATATATAAATGAATTCAATACCGAAATAAAATTAGTAACTATATACAGTAATGAAACGAATAAAACCGTTTTTCCCTTGCTCCTTTTAGTAATTACGCATTTAGGAAGAGCCGTAAACACCCAAGAAGTGTTAGAAGCACTCGCCAACGTCTCGTGCTTCTCCTTAAACTTCTTTCGAGCTAACATCACTTCCTGCGTGCTTTATCACTGAACGGATCACGGAAAAACTGTTTTATTTGTTAAATATAAGGAAAATAAAACGCGCGCGCATATCTCTGTACTGTGATATAAGCGCGCTGGGTGCTGTAGAGCATGAGAGAAGCAAGCTTAGGAACACGACGCGTAAAGTGTTTCTATCACAGCGCAGAGACATAATCAAGCGTTTTATATTGTTTTTATAAAATATTTTTGGACGATTTTGCGGGAGGGTCTCGGTCCTACCCTATGTTTAGGAATCAAGAGTGGAGTATTTTTAGTGCACTTGCTTCTGGAATATTGGGTTCTTTCCCCGGACATGGGATCTTATGTGAGTAGAGTTTGTTGATTCGAATGGTTTTTCTTCCGGTTCTCGGRATTGTTGGTTTGGGAGTTTGTTTTTTTGGGACTTTGTTTAGGCCAGAGGATGTTTCGGGTGTTCATATTCAGGATTCAGGTACGTATTCTACAAGAGAAAATGAACTTTTCAAGGAACAGGTAAAGATGCACGAGTTCATTTTTTCTTGTTTTCTATTCATTATCGTCTTACCTGAGTAAAATACATTTTTCTCTGCAAAAAGATCTGTAAAAATTCCTTTGCCATTTGAGCAACAGCAAAAACCAAGATAACAAAAGGTACAGATCCGCCCAAACTGCTCTTCCTGAATATCGAAGAAGCCTGAGACGTGTTGGTGGCAGCCAGGGGACGAAACGAGGCATACCGTCTTTCTTCTACCAAGAATACAGTGTACAATATGGTAAATGCCAGAAAAGTATAAAAACTGAGAAAATAAACGGTTTTTCCCAAAGCGGACCACTTCTTCTCCAACAGTTTTTGTGTTAGAGGATGTAGAAGGAGGTTTTCTTGGTTGTTCTGCACCATGATCTCGGGTCCAAAGTACCGTTTACCGCGTATAAAAGCCGGATCATCAGGGCCAGGGTCCAGCAATTGGAAATCATAAGTGATGGTGTAGTCAAAGTGAGAGGGGCTCATGTTTTCAGCCGGCTGTACACATTTGTCCATTATCAGTTTGGCCGCATCTGGAAAATGCGCAATCAATAGCTTCATGGGTGGCTGGCCATTCACACCTGCTTTAATGTTCAGTATTTCTTTCCATCTAAAATAATTGAAATAGTCGAAGATTAGGCAGAAAATTTGTTAATATAATATATAAATATATTTAGTTTTTTTTTAGCCTGCTTTTTTTTGTAATGATGATAATGTATTGAAGTTTCCTTGTGATAACTTTAATATTTGTAACGCGCATATTCTAGTTTACACATAGTCGATTACAACGCATTGACATCCTAGAGGCAGGTTTCTAATCATCACATCATTTCTATCCTGTACTTTTACAAAAATTACATATTTAAACAAGGGAGCACGTTAAAATTTTGATTGTGTTGGTTTATCTTCGATTTTATCGCACGTATTATAAGATATAGCAGGCGTTCCTCGTAGTTCTTGTTTACGTGCGCGTGCTACACTTCATGGCAGGCGTTCCTTGCTTTAGTCGAGCTAGCGAATTTACTCCGAAAACCGACGAATATTTTGCGTCATTCCCTTCCTTACACGATCGTAAGCCACTCGGATCGGCCGAAACCAAAACACTACGAGGAACGCCTGTCACAAGATGGATTGCGCGCGCTAGATAGATCAACCAAGAACAATGACTTTCCTTACACAAACAAAATTTTAATGTGCTCCCTTGATTTAAAGGCACGGTTACCTTTGATGTCGACATATTGCCATAACGACATCAGAAGATCCATACTTGACTGCTGTATCAATCAATCCCAGGTTCGTGTTGTTCCGAACTGTAACCGAAGCACCACAATCCAAGAGAAGTTCCACAACAGCCACGTGATTGTATCGTACTGCTTCTAATAACGCTGTATCTTCACTGGTGTTAACATTATCAATCTCGGCTTCGTTTTCTAGCAAAGTTTCACAAGTCTTGATTCCTCCATTTCTAGCAGCAGCCATGAGAGGCGTAGAGCGTAGGTTGTCACGACAGTTGACATCAGCACCACGTTTGATCAGCTTTTCGCAGACTTTTCTAAGATAAAAGCATGAATGAAAATAAAAAATATGAAGCGCCAAGGTAAGTTATCGCAGCAAATCAAAAGAATATTAATACTTAATATTCTCTTTCAGCAAATATAGTAAAGACGTTAAGAATAAAAAACCAGCAGTTTACTTTCAACTACGATTTACTGAATATTCGGTCTCTTACACCACGTGCAAAGATGCTACAGGGTCTTTGATTAAGAGCTTCGAGATTAAATATTTTCCTTCAAATATTTGGAAATACGCTGCTTATGTCCATTGTTCATCTATTTCTGAATGATGGAGGAAATGTTCCCGTGTCTGAATGATGCCTTCCTTAAAGAGATACAAAAATAAACCAACTTTTGCGTTACTTCTCGATGAACTTATACCTGTGTCCTTTTGCCGCTGCAACATGCAGCGCTGAACGCCCTTCATCATCACGGTCGTTAATAGACGAACCCGCTCGTCCCAGTGCCTCCACGTGGTCTGCTCTACCAGCTTCGGCCGCAAGGTACATTGGGGTCTGCTGGTTTTCGTCTTGGAAAATAAAACGAGTTTGTTTCTTGAGGAGAACTTGAAGAACCTGTAGGCACATGACATATAAAGAAGGCAACAGTTTCGGCAAATTGTATTTGGGGAGATTTGGCATTTGAATACGACTGCAAGTTACGTCATCGCTGCCGGCCATGTTGGTGGCATTAAAGAAAAGATTTGTTTTATAGCCGGACCAAGATGGCCGTTATATTTGTGTCTTTTGACTCTCTTGAGAATGCCTGCAACCCATCAATAACCTATGGGTAGGACAAACCAAGGCTTCAGTAAGGGTCCAATTACGCACCGTAAAACTTTTAGCTTTTAGTTGTACCCAGCGCAGCGTTGCAAGAACCCCTCGATGTCTTTCAATCATTTAGTTAGATGTTAGAAGTTACAAGGACTTCAGTAAGCTTTTTTCCTGGCGCTACGTAACTGCTTATTCAAACAGCGAAAAGAAAGAAAGATGACAAAAAGCAGGTACGTGAACAGCGTGGTACCACAGGGTATAATAAAATCAAGATGTTCTTGTAGGATATACGAACCTTGATGTTAGAGCACACGGCGGCATAATGCAAAGGAACTCTTTCACGAATATCCGGGCTGTACAAGTTTTCCAGACAACCATCAGTGTCCAGTAACACCATCAAAGTATCTTGGTTTTCATTTTCAATAGCAAGATGAAGGCAGTTCTTAACCTGGTTGTCATAAGCGGTGATTTCAGCGCCACGTGACAGTAAGAGAACAGCGCTTCCTGATTGGCCGTTTGCCACTGCTTCTAGGAAGGGAGTCCTGTTGGTGTAGTCACGTGCATCAACCTTGGCTCCCTCGTCCAATAAGAAATTGATGATGTCCAGGTGACCAAACGACGCTGCTCTGTAAGGTGGTTAACATCAAACTATTATTCTCTATCTCTGGTACTAATTAAAAATAGACTAGATTTGCCTCAAGTCCACCACTCTTGTCTCCCGCGAGAGTTTTTTTATTTGAGCGAAGCGAGAATTTGTTGTCACGAGATGAAGTCACAAGAGGTCGTTTCGTCGCATGCCAATAAATGCACAGAGGGCTGCGGACTTTGCGAAAGTTTAAAAAATGACATCCCCTACCCTGTCTGACAAAACAACCGGAGGGGAGGGAGTATTCTAATTCTATTAATGACTCATCGAATCTACCCGACTCAATCTACCCGAATCCGCCATCTTTTTTTACATTCTCGCATAGCTAGAATCCTGTAGAATGCTAGACTGCGAGCAGGTCCCTCCCTCCCCAGCCCCCTCCCCCAGGGACTTTTGACTCGTAACCAATCTTCCTCGGTCAATTGACATGAACGGACAGACGGACAGTGACCAAGGGAAATAGAGGGACTGCTTGCAGTCTAGTAGAATGCAAGTCACAGTGGTCGTTTTGATCACGTGAGCTCTTACTGCAAGTCGCCTATTAGAACATCTATTGCCGGCAAAACTCTTTTACTACTCACGTGAGAAAACACGGTGTCCAAATCATTACTTATTTACTCTGTTAATTTTGGTGCATTCATTGTTGTATACTCACTTGTGCAAGGCGGTTCGGCCATCGAATGTTCTCGAATACTGAATATCAGCTCCTTTCAAGATGAACAACTTTACCATTTCAAGATGGCCCTTAGTGCAGGCTAAATGTAGTGGGGTAGCAAAGTCAGTCTTGGTCAAGTTCACGCTTGGTTGGTATTTCAGGATTTCTTCAGCAATTTCTTTGTTGTTGGTGAGAGCAGCCAGATGTAGAATAGTGTTRCTGTCAATGTCTCGGGCATTTACGATGTCAGCCATATTTGCTGACATGGCGATTGCTATCAATGATAAAGAAAAGAGATTAGAAATGTTGGTCTATGGATCACTTCCTACTTCCCTACTTCCTCCCTTCCATCTTTCAAGTCAGTCAGCCAATTATTTTTCTACCTTGATCTAAAATAACCTTGGAAGCTTTGTGGTTTCCATTGGCAACTGCAACATGCAAGGGGGTCGTCTTGTCAACAGCTTGTGCCATATAGTCAGCACCTCTATCCAACAACATCTTACATAACTCAGCATCACCATGGATACCCGCCACATGAAGCGGGGTGAGTAACGACTTGTCTACAGCATTGATTTGAATACTGTGATTATCTAACAATAATAGAACTAGCTCTTTGTTGCCTCGTCGACAGGCAAAGTGAAGAGGGGTGCAGCCATTGTTGTTCTTTGCATTAGGGTTAGCGCCGTGATCAAGGAGAAGCTTGGTTGTTTCACGCCAACCAAATCTGAAAACACAGATGTGAAAGTAATTAGAGAAAGAAGAAAACTAAACAGAAGAAGAAAAAAATAAGCTAGTTAGAGCTAGGGAGAATACAAACTATGAATGCATTAAATAACCCAAGAAGGATGCATGGGATGAGGAAAGGAAAGAAAAGAGCTAAATGAATAAGATAAATGAAAACAATTTAAAACAAATAAACAACAGTGGAATAAATAAATAAAGAATTGAGCTGTGAATGAAAATGCATGAATAAATTACAGCACCGATAAGATACACACATCAATAACAGCCATTTGTTGGATGCTGAATTTATTCTGGCATGGGGCTAAAGGTTGAATGCCTGTAAAGTTTTATACGACTTATTTGTTTGTCTGGGATTTGGAAACCAAGTTTTGGAATATGATTAATTTAGCAGGGGAGAGGTTGACTGTGTCAATTATAAAACCTTTCCAGAGGCGGATACAGGATTTTAAAAATGGGGGTGGATAATTTTTAAAAGGTTCTTTTGAGCCTTCTTTTTACAGTACCAAGGGGAAAAATGATTAAATCATAACATACAGTGTACTGCATACTAACTTGTGAATGCAGCTAAATTTTGACTCTTGACATGTTTTGTAATTAGATGCAATCATATTCTTCTATTTTCCTAAAAATATTTACTTTTACTTTAAAAAGGGGAGTGGAAATCCACCCAATCCACCCCCTGTATTGGCCCCTGCTTTCATGCAGTTTCATATTACATGTATTAGAGGGGGCAGTATGGTTGAGTGGTCATAGCGTCAGTCTAGCCATCATGTGGTGCGGACTTCAAGTCCCACTGTGGCCACAAGCTGAGACTGTATATGTCCTGATCTTTGATTAGTTCAAATTCAGTTTCTCGACCATTCTTGTAAATAGCCAACTGGTTTGCCTCCTTGCTAGTTTGGATTCTCAATACACTTTATATTTCTATTTATTCTTTTCAGTTTACACCTAATTGAAAAATGGTTGTTGGGTTAAAAAAAAGGTTATATCATCAAAGCTAAGACTGAAGGGGAGCATGGGAAGACTAACAAAGATTGAAGAAATTGCCGAGTTGGCCTCCCTTGTAAATAACAACTCAACAAAGGTAGCTGTCTCAAGTATCATCCAGAGAAGCGACGACGAATCGCTAAACAGAAAGGCAAA